ACTCCACGCTACGGAGCTTCACCTAAGGAAGCAGTTAGGACAGGCACAAAGATTAAATACCACTGTGCCTAGCATCATTATGTTCAAGACCGGGTGATTTGTAATACTAAAAAAATGGAAATAGCACATCCATAGAATTTTTGCAAAAATAAAAATTATATTTTCGAAAAGTATTTAATGCACAGAAGAATATCAAGGCTAAAATATGAAAAAAGAAGAATACACATAAAAACCTGCTTCAATACCATAATGTATCGCTAAGAAGTGGTATTTTAGGTTTTTAAAATTTGGGTCCTCTAAATTTTCAACAATGATTATATGTCTATTTTAAACCCAGAAAAAAAATTTTTTTTTGGAAAGAAGAATATTAAGTCGAAAAGGAGACATAAGGCAAACACAGAAAGGCCCAGGGCTGGGATCCAGCCAGTACACATCAGTACACACCAATATGTCCAGTGCAGCTGTAACGGCCAGTGGCCATTTGTTTGGTTGGGGCCCCCATACCGGTCATTAAATATACTGAGTGTCACCCATGCAAATAACCATGGTAAGTTTCTTAAAGCCCAGATAAAGCGCTTTTAAAAATGACGTCCAGTGAAAAGAATTACTTGCTCTAAAACCGTTAAGAAAGGGAATGAAATAGACCATCATGTGCTCCAGACTTTTGGAATCACTGAGCTTAGCAGCCGGAAAGAATCTTAAAAGACCAGCAATGCCACAGATGGAGAAAATGTGGTTCAGAAGTATTCACCCACTGTCCCAAGGTCCAAGAGGTAGGGTGGTGGGATGGGTTGAATTATATCCCTCCCACCCCCCTCAAAACCCATATGTTGAAGTCCTAACCCCCAGTTCCACAGAACATGACCTTCTTTGGAAACAGGGTCACTGTAGATGTAATTGGTTAAGTGTAGATGAGGTCATGAGGGTGGGCCCTAATCCAATATGGCTGGTGTCCTTAAAAGGGGGAAACTTGGACCCAGACGTGCACATAGGGAGAACCCCATGCAAACACGAAGGCAGAGATGGGGGTGATGCTTCTATAAGCCAAGGATTATAGCCAAGGATTGGCTAAAGATTGCCAGCAAATCACCAGAAAGATAGGACCAGCACCTTTATCGCAGGCATTCGGCTGTTCTTACATTCCTCTTCCAGGCCCAGATGCCTGAGGCCAGAATGCTGGGTCTGGAACTTCCAATGAAATCCAGATTATGTGTTTTTTTTTAATTTTATTGAAGTATAGTTGATTTACAATGTTGTGTTCATTTCTTCTGTACAGCAAAGTGACTCAGTTTTACATATATATATATTTTTTTCATGTTCTTTTCCATGATGGTTCATCCCAGGATATTGAATATAGTTCCCTGTGCTCTACAGTAGGACCTTGTTGTTGATGCATCTTGTACATAATAGCTTGCATCTGCTCATCCCAAACTCCCACTCCATCCCTCCCCCACCCTCCCTCCCCCTGACAACCACAAGTCTGTTCTCTATGTCTGCGAGTCTGTTTTTGTTTTGTAGATATGTTGATTTGTGTCTTATTTTAGATTCCACATATTCTGTATTGAATCCTCTTACCACCAGGGCAAAGAAAGGAGCTATGAGGGATGGGGTCTGTCTTGACAGAGCTCGCCCTCTGATTAGGAAACAAGACACACTCCCAGGACGATAGGCAACAGCGATCCAGTGTGTGTGGGATCTCACCACCCACGAAACACAGGGAGGGGCAGTCCCAGCCACGGAAGCCTCCTGCCCCGTCTGGTCTCGCAACACTGTGTTCCATGATCAAAACCACCCCGGACTCAGAAGCAGCTGGAAGCTCAGAAGGTCAGGGTGGTGATGAGGTTGGTATATAAGGCCCACCCTAGGGTGTGAACTCTTTAGGACAAAACAAGACAAAAGCAGCAGGGAAGGCCCTAGGACCCACTTTCTTTAACTAGAAATTAGGCAGGAAAACAAGAGACCAGTGAGGTCTGGACTTCTGGTGTTCAGCCCCTGGGCTCACCTGGCCGGCCCCACTCCCACCCAGGCTGGACTCCCGGAGCCCCTAGTCCAGGCCCAGCCCTGCCCGAATCACCCAGAGAACCAGCCTCCCGGGGGCCCACCAGGACTCCAGCCAACTGTTCCGTGACCCGCAGAACCTTGGAGAACAGAGTATTTCCACAAAGCAGTTTTAAATCCAAACAACAGACTCTTCTGGAAACCATCGCCCCAAGCTGCAGGAGGCAAGGAAAAAAAAAAAAAAAGAACAAAAACCCGCAAATTCAAGTCCGTAATACATTCTGTACATAGCTTGTGGTTTTAGAGTCACTTTAATCTTTCTCCCCCCTAAACTCTTCCAAAGATCTGTGCATCGGCCGAGCCAACACGCGGTTGCACTTCTAAGCAAAAACCTTGTAAAACTAGACTCTGGACTGTGTCCCTCACAGGCTTGTAACATCTCCAAGAGCAAAGAGTGACACGATACACTGAAACAGGTCCAAGGAACCATCCCTATGTTTTGTGTCAAAGAGTTGCTTTATTAAAGTCTTAGGACCATGTGTCAGGCCGGCTGAAGGCATGTTTGCTTTCTTGCTGTAGAGCCCGGGTTAGCAGTCGAGCACGTCAGCCCCATCGTCCTGGGGGCTGCAGTGTGTCTGCCCAGGGTCCCCAGGCGCTCCGCCACCACCGAGCTAAGCCCACGGGTGCTTTGGCACGGCTGGGCAGGCAGCACCAAGGAGGGTGGCTGTGAGGGGGAGACTCAGGGGAGCCCCCATGCTCAGCGCCCTGCATCTCCCTGATAGATAGACCCCAGGACCCCAGCATTTGCTGAATCCATCCAGCCCCGCAGGCCAGGCCTATGGCTCTACTGCCCCTGATGGCAGAGAGCACTGTTCTGTTTGTTTTTTCAAAGTCTCCATTTCAAACCAAGAATTGTGAACACAACATTGTAAATCAGCTATACTTCAATAAAGTTTAAAAACAGAAAAAGCAGGGAACTATATTCAATACCCTGTGACAAACCACAGTGGAAAAGAACACGAAAAAGAACATGTATGTATGACTGGGTCACTGTGCTGCACAGGAGAAATTAACACAACAGTGTAAATCAACTAGACTTCGATAAAATTTAAAACAAAGAATTGTGTCTCTAGGCTTGGCCTTGGTTCCCTCTCTTTGCTGAGGAAGCCTGGGACCCAGGGCCCAGGACAGTCTAGCAAAAGAAGCTATCGGACAAGGAAAAGCGCAGTGAATCTAACTACCTTAGCATTCTCGTCTAATCTAAGAGTGTTCACACTTCAACAGGTGTGAAAACACGAAGAGTGCCAGAGGGAATCTGTTCTCACCGTAGTGAAAGCGCCTGGCCTTGGAGTCAGACGGCCCGGGTTAAAGCCTGACCGGTCAGCTTGCCGCCCTCCACGGGGGCCGGGGAGATGGGCGGTCACTCAGCGTCGTGGAAGCACCTGTCTGTGCTTTCCTCATCACTATGGTCTCCCCCGACGCGACCCCTGTGAGTTCTGTTTCCCGGCGTCTCCCACCCTGAGTGACACAGGACGTGGGCTTGGGCTTCCCCCACCCCTCTGAGCAAACACACTGCACAGCCACACCCAGGAGTGGATCCCAGCGAAGCGGCATCACTGCTAGCATCCCCGACCTGAGGTTAAGCCTGGGAGAAATCGGAAACAGGTGTTTGCCGAGGGACCCTCGTCACCCCAGGGAGGGTCTCAGAGGCGGAGCACAGCCCCACAGCCTGCAGGAGGAAACGGGCGGCCCCAGAGCCGAGGGCGGCTGTGGCGGGGTGGGCATGCTGTTCCCCTACCCACCCCCTCCATCCGGACCGGGTCGACATCCTCACCTTGGAATCAACAATCTGTCTCCAGCGCGGTCCCAGGCTAAGCACACACCTGGGAGGCAGGAGGGATGGATGCCACAATACCCATGAGAACCTTAGAGCAGACGTGCTTGCCGGCTAGGAGGGGCCCTGGGAGAGGGTGAGAACGGGGAGGGGTCAGCATCGGGGGACACCTGCCTGGCTACCAGCAGGGCGCAGGCTCTCAGGGGCAGACAGCGCCCGCCCCTGGGCTGACCACCAGGTCCAGCACAGGGAAGTGGGCATCACTCGGCTGCAGGCTTTGAATCTATGGAGGGCACATCTGTGACCCACAGGGACAGTCCTGCGAGCATTGACCATGCCAGGCTCGGCCTGTCCTTTGGGCACCCACTGCCCGGGGACCTGGAGGCCGGGAGGCCAAGCCCTGATTGTCGACAGGCCCTTCGGCCAGCTGGTACCACACCGACCCAGCTGTGGGCTGTGGGCACCCACAGACACCCACCACCCCAGCCTAGCTTGTGCACCTGGAGCCCCGTCCTGGAGTGACGTCCCAGGACGCTGGGGTCAGTGAGGTGTCTACATAGCTGGAGATGTCTACATAGCTCCCAGCCCTCTGCTGCACCAGCCCACAAAGGACGGGGAGGAAGGGCAGAATTCCAAACGGGGTGAACGGGAGGAAGAATCTGGAAGGCAGGGCAATGGTGCCGGGGCCAAGGAGAGGCTTTTCTAGAGGGGAGGACTTCAGGGACACACGGAGCTGGAGACCAGGAGGTCCTGATGGCTGGCAGGACGGGGGCCACACGGCAGGGTGCCGGCAAGGAGCCGCCCCAGCATCAGGAACCCAGAGACCAGCTGAGGGACCCTGCGTCCCTGGTGAGAGATGCTTCCCGTCCCGCCTGGTGACGTCAGAGGGAGCCCCAACACGCGGCGTGTCCCCCGGCGATGCCCTTCCCTCTGCAGGGCAGAGAGCCGGCCCCAGGCAGCAGCTACGTTCTGAGAACACCGTGGTTTTCATGGCGTTTTTTAAAATGGTAACTTCCACGGCTGACAAATGATACCACTTTCCCCTTTAGTGCGGCGGTAGT